GGGGGGGGGGGGGCCCCCCCCCCCCTGCCATTTTGCTGCCTGGGAGCTTCCGGGGGGGAGAGGTTCCTCTTCCTTACTGGGACAAATTGCCTTCTAGAGAGAGGTGGGCAGAGTTAAGGAGATGGTCAGTAGGGCGCGTGGCTCACGGGGTCGCTCAGCTGTCTGGCGTAGTGCGAGGCTGGCCTGGCTGATGCACATCGTCTCAGGTTGGCCTTGTGGGCTAGTAAGTGACTCTGTTTGTTCAAATGCACAAGCAGTTCATCTTCCTTGCAGTCATTCCAAGGGCTAGATCCTTGCCTGGCGGAAAGCAGCCTGGCTCCAGGCCAGCTGGGGACCTGGCGTGATGCAGGGTGGGGCATCTGGGTTCAGAGAAGCAAAGGCCCAGGAAGGGGAGAGCGACGACAGGGCTCCTTAGCTCCAGTGTTTCGCCCTGGTCAGAGCCCAGCAGCCCTGGGCTTGCTGCATCCGTGTTGAATGTAGAACCACGCGTCTCTTTCCGTACAGACCGGGCCCTGCTCCCCCCCATTCCCAGGGTCGGCCTCCGAGAGCGGAACCGCCTGCCCTCCGGAGCCGCCTCCCTTCAGCCCTCACACAAAGGCCGTTTCCTTGTAGGATTCCCCCGGATCTTCTTCAAGCTGCTTCATAACCCCCTCTTCATCCTCCTGGTGCTGGCCCAGTGCAGCTTCTCCTCCGTCATCGCCGGCCTCTCCACCTTCCTCAACAAGTTCCTGGAGAAGCAGTATGGCACCACCCCGTCCTACGCCAGCCTCCTCATCGGTGAGGGCGGCCGGCCCTGAATTCAAGGGGCAGGGTTCAGACATGGCCCCAGACCCTGTTCTCCATGGGGAAGGAGCCACGGGCCATGCGCTCTCCTGGCTCGCATGTCAGAGCCTCCACGCCCGTTCCCTTCTGCCCTGAGTGCGTGGGAGGGAGTGGCCATGGTCACGGCAGCCCCACGCGCCCCAGGCCTGCCCCCGGCCTCGAGGGAGTCCCCAGAGGAGCAGGGCTGGCATCATGGCTGTGCACCCGCCTCCTCGCGGCCCCAGCGCAGGGCCACGGCCAAATGGCTGCCAAGGGTTCTGAAGTGTGGCTGTCCTGTCGCCCGGGGTCTCCCTGAGGCAATGAATGGGCCTCCGGAGGCTGCAGGGTCTGGGGTGCCCCTCCCCCCACAATCCCGGCCGCCCTGCGCGGTGCGCCTCGGAGCCCTGACCGCGCCCTGCGCTCTCCCTGCAGGCGCCGTGAACCTGCCCCGCGCTGGGCATGCTCTTCGGCGGGATCATCATGAAGCGCTTCAGCTTCTCCATCAAAGCCATCCCCCGCTTCGCCATGACGATGCTCCTCGTCTCCATCCTCTGCTGCCTCCCCCTCTTCTTCATGGGCTGCCCCACCCAGACCATTGCGGGCGTGTACCCGCCCAGGTAAGGCCGGCGGGGCCGGGGCTTCAACTGGGGACCTCACGGCTGCTCTGGTAACCAGTCTCCTCCTCTCGGCA